TGCATAAAGCAGTGCCTTGCACCTAACAGGGCCCTGGTAGTGTTTGCTTCAATTATTACTGTTGTTATGACAGATGAGAAACCTGTGAGCTTCAGAAAAACTAGGTAATTTACTCAAGGATGCCGCATTAGTTTGCTAGGGCTGCCATAACAAAGTAGCATGGACTGGGTGAATTCAGCAGCAGAAATGTATTTGCTCACAGTTCTGGAGGCTAGAAGTCTGAGATTGAGGTGTCAGGAGGGTTGGTTTCTTCTGAAACCACCTCTCTCCTTGGCACGTAGGTGGCTGTCTTCTCCCTGTCTCTTTACATGGTCTCTCCTCTATGTCTGCGTCCTAGTCTCCTCTTCCTATGAGGACACCGGTCATACTAGATTAGGGCCCCACCCATATGACCTCATTTTACCTTATTTACGTCTTTAAAGGTCCTGTCTCCAAATACAGTCACATTCTGAGGTATTGGGGGTTAGCATTTCCACATATGGATTTGTGGAGTGCACAGTTCAGCCTGTAACAGATACATAACCATTAAGTGACATATAAGGATAAACAAAACTGTGCCCAAGAGAATTCACAAGGGTGTGGTTGGTTCCAAAGCCTGCCACCTCTCAACAGGAGAAAAAGTGACCTATATTCTCATATGTCATTTTAAGGGAAGTGTTCAGAGTCATTAGGCTCAAGTAAAATATTTCCCTTGAACTTCGCTAAGTGAAGCAAAGAGTGACTGTCTAGATTGTGCTATCCTGTCAATGGTACCATCTCTTTATCTTCCTTTGCCTAAGAAGATAGCAGCTGGCCATTTGGGAGTGTAGTTCCTTGTGTACTTGCCTCTCTCTCCTCTTGCCAGTAAGATACTCGAGAGGCAGGATTCACATTCGATTCCTCTCTGTACCTCTCAAAACTCCTACTCCCGAGACCGGTGATATATATGAGTTGACATTTTTCAAGTTAGCAAATCTCAGTTGACCCTCACAACAATAACTCCTGGTTATCAGTAGTGTTATTCCCATGTTCACAATGATAAGGCACAGAGAGACTGAATGGGCTGCCGGAGGTCACACAGCTGATGAGAGCCAGGGTTGGAATTCAAACCCAGATTTTCAGGTCCCATCTCCCATCTCTTCTCTCATGCCACAGACTGTCCTTGATGCCAAGAGCCCTCATGGCTTGAGCACTGACCATGGGGCACAGTGCCTCTTTTGATTCTCACGTTGACCCTGGAATTTACAGTGCATCATCTCAGCATTACAGACTTTTAAATGGGGTACAAGTGGCCAGATGGCACCCTCCATATGAGCTGCATGGCTGGGATTGAAGACTCTGGAGCCCCTGCTCCTGGCTACCCCACTGTCCTGCTAGTCACTGAGCTGAACCTTGCCTAGGTTGGCTTAAAGTAAGAATCACCTCATGCAGTGTGGGTAGGGATGGGGATGGCTGTCCCTCTGCTATCTTATCTCAGGAACTTCCAGGTCACCCTGCAGGTCTCATCTCGCCTCCTGCCTCAGAGCTTAAACTGGCCCTTCCTCTTACCTCCTGCTCCCTCTTCTTCCAATAATCCCTAGAAAAGATCCTAGCTTCCATAGCCTCTCTGGACAGCAGGAATCCTCGTCCCCATAAGGTTGAGGATGCCATGGGAGTGCCATTGCTCTGCAGCCTCTCTGGAGGCTCCTGTAACACTTGGTTTCTCTTCCCCTGTCTCCCCTTGCTCTGCAGGAGACAAGCCCTGGACTCCGGTGCAGCTGGGGCTAGGGCTACCTGAAGGGAAAGCAGAGACTCAGGTGCCCGGTGAGCAATGGCAGTGAGGAGCAGAGAGCGACGCCAGCAAGCAACGCCTCCTGGCCCTGTTTTTGCTCTTGTATCTCTTGACCCAGTGAGGCCCAGCAACCACGGGGACTGAGTAGCAGTTGGATCTGGGGGCAGCCGAACTTCTGGAAAATTTTAGCTTGTTATTGTGAAGACTTGTGGAGTATCCCAAAGTGCTGGCTTTCGGAAACGGGTGCCTGCATTTTCTTCTGCACAGGCTCTGCTGAAGGAGTTTGCTGCACCCTTGAAGGGACAGGCAAGCTCAGGTCCTCATGGCTCGATCTCTGAGCAGCCCTCTAACCCAGTGAGGACAGCGGTCAACCAGTCTCCAGCTAACAGCTTCCTGCAGAGACTTCCAGCATTGTTAGCTAACGTGCGCTCTTCTGAGGCCTTCAACAGCTGGGAACTGTTTCAAGACTATCTTGCCAGCTAAGAAGCGGAATCCCAGTTCTTGTTGCCAGAAAGCTTTTAATGGCCAATGGAGAATGCTGTCCTCCCTTGGTGAAAGAATTCCCAAGAGAAATTTGGGCATCTTTTAGGATTCACTTCAACAGAATGTTTCTCTGGACATGTGTCTTCAGGCACTGGAAGCTACTCAGGGGCAAGAAAGCACAGATGACCCCTTGCTCAGCAATGTGGGATTAGCCTCTTTGGGCAGGGCAATCTCTCTGCCCCCAGTGGATTAGACAGCTGGCTCTGAGACATAGCAGAAGGTCTCACAAATGTTAGGAAAAGGAGGTTGAGCATTATTCCTCCATGTGGAATTATTTTTGCATTTATCCAGAAAGTGACTATTTTTTGGTCTTTGAAATCACCTGTGATATAATTAGAAGACATCAGAGATTCAATGTCCATGTCACCAACCTCCCCACTTGGTACCTGGGAAGTCTGAGGTCCACAGAAAGAAATGTCTTAATGAGGGTCACCCAACAAGTTAGGGCAGGAGGGATACCCCCACCCAACCTACCTCCCATACCCTGCCGCCTCCAACCTTGCTGTCTGTCATCTTCCTTTACCAAGGAAGGGCTCTTCTGAAGCCATGATGATTTGGGGCCATTTGGCAGCAGACAGCAAACTATTAATACCTTTGGTTTTTCTAAACTGGTGGAGATCTGAAACCAGGGTTCTGGCTTTTCTCTGAGGACCATAAAATGCTCCTATTCCTGGGGTCCCCTTCTTTCTATTGCAAGGAGCATAAAATGGAGCACTCCTCTTCTGGGGGCCATGGGAAAGGAGCCATTCCCAGATGCTGTGATGCGTGACTTCAGCAATCTGGCTGAAGCGACTAGAATGGGCCCTGTTATTCTCCACAAAGCAGGCTTGGGTCAGGCAGGGTGGCTGTTAAGAGGACACGGCCAGCATTGATTCTGGGAGTATCGTTTCCTCCCTCCCCCGGCCTCCCAAGCACACCTGTGTGGGAGGTACCAGGCAGAAGGCCCAGTGTTCTCCTTTCAGACCCCTTGGCTGTCCCAACTCACTGAACTCGCACAAAGAGCTTCACTTTGAACCGAAAGGTCAGGAGTGATCAGATTTTTCACTGAGCTTGTTCAAAGGGAGGAGCCTGGGCTGGGTGAGATAGATTTGGGCCCTTTTCTCAGTGTGGGAGAGTATCTGTTTGTTCCTGGGCACAACTACAGTCATATTCATAGGAGGAATTGGGGAGATAGCATAGAAGCTGCAGCTGGCCACCCCCAAAGCTCATCTAAGTTCTCTGTGTGTGCTACAGAGGACTTGAACAAAGACATCTCTCCGAGTGATATTATAGCCTGAAAAGGAAATCTCACATCTTTTCCTTTTTTAAGTTCCTGTCTTGAGGTTTACCTAGACAGATTCCCATAGTAAACTTCTATATGAGTAAAAGGGAAAAAAAATAACAGTGGCTTAAATAAAATCGAAGTTTAATAAACTAGAAGTTTAATTCAGGCCAGAGATGGTGGCTTACACCTGTAATCCCAACACTTTTGGATCACTTGAGGTCAGGAGTTTGAGACCAACCTGGCCAACATGGTGAAACGCTGTCTCTACTAAAAATACAGAAATTAGCCAGGTGTGGTGGTGCATGCCTGCAATCCCGACTACTGGCGAGGCTGAGGCAAGAGAATTGCTTGAATCCAGGAGGTGGGGGTTGCAGTGAGCCGAGATCCTGCCACTACACTCTAGCCTGGGTGACAGAGCAAAACTCTGTCTTAATAAAACAAAATAAAATAAAATAAAATAGTTTGATTCTCTCTCAATAAAATGAGTCCATCATCTAGGGCTGTTTTCATTCTACACAGGGTCGGGAACTAAGTTTTCTCTCTGCTTGCATTGGCATCCTCAGTGCATGCATGGCTGCTACTATATGGCCCAAGATAGCTGCTGAAAACCCAGCCATCACATCTTCCTTCCAGCTAGCAGGAAGGAGAAGGGAGAGAAGAAAGTCTTTCTGTCCTTCCTTCAAGGGAGTTTCCTGGAATTCAGACACTATACTTCTGCTATATTGGCCAGAGCTGAATTCCAAGGCCACAACTAATGCAAGGGAGACTAAGGAATGTAATCTTTATTCTAGGTAGCCGTGTGCTCAGATAAAAACCAGGGATTCTGCTACTGAGGAAGGAGAAGAAAATGAATATTGGGGACAATTAGCTATCTTTGCCACATCTTCCTCCTAGATAGATAAGAAGAGGGTTTATAACATGCAGGCATCTATATTTATGTCTTTAATATTAATATCCAAGGCTGGATTAGAAGCATAGACTGATAATGTAAAGGTTAGAAATCATCCAGTCCACACCCTCATTTTAAAGGTTAGGAAACTGAGATCCAGAGAGATTAAACAGATCATCTGAGATCACACAGCAAGTTGGTGGAATCTAATACCCAGCTCATGTTTAGTGGGAATATTTTTGTTCTGCTCTGTTTCTTAACTTAAGAAAAAAGCTTCTGGAGGGGAGGGAGTTTTGAGTGCCAAGGATGAAATTCCATCTATCATTCGGTCTCTGAGCTGCAGGACACAGGCAGGACAACGGTAGGGTTTTCATGCCCCAGTCTGCCCAGCTTTGAGCTGTGGCAGCTGGGGAAGCCACTGGTGAGGACGCTGCACTGGAGTGTGGGCTGGCTGGAGTGTGCACATTCTGGCACTGCCTGTCTCCGTGTCAGCCCTGTGTACTGATTCCAGCCTGCCAAGGCTGCATGTCTGACTCTGTGTGCTTCTCTTTCAGGGAGCACGCTGCCAGGATGGGAGCTGCTGGGAGGCAGGACTTCTCCTTCAAGGCTATGCTGACAATCAGCTGGCTTACACTGACCTGCTTCCCTGGGGCCACATCCACAGGTGAGCACTGCAAACAGATGGACCTCTGTATCTCAGCATGGAAGGCACGGCCCCTCACTGGAGCAAGGCTGCTGTTGGGGGAGCCAGGAGAAGGAGCCATAGGAGTGGGTCAGGGTGCCTGGGCCTTGGCCCCACCTTACTAAACTCCTTGGTCCCCAGCACGTTTCATCCTGGGCTTCAGTTTCATCATCCACAAAATGAAGGGATTGGACTAGAATCAGGGGTTGCAAACTCAGTGCCTACAGGAGCCAGGTACCTGATACAAATGAGTGAAGCTGACCAGGTAGGGAAACACTTTTCTCAGTTCTAGCCAATTACTACTGTGGGAAGGTGGATCCCCTTTTGCAGGATCTGAATTTTTCAGAGAAACCAGAAATCTAGAGCTTTATGTAAAATCTCCCTAGTTTTTAAATGTTACCAATGAATTCAAAATGTAAAAACCACTCTAAGAGGCTGAAAAAAAAAATAAAATCCCACATATCTGAGAGATATCTTTCCAACTCTGTCTGGACCACCTGGTCTCAATGCTCCCTTCCTGCTTTGGTATCTTAGGATCTGGGTACATTAAAGTACTTTTCAGCTGTGATGCTCTAAGCCAGGTTTAGATCTATTTTTCTATCTCAACATTGTCAACTTTTTCTTCAAGTGATTTTCAGTTAATATCTAGAAGTGTAAGGTAAGTTTTCCTGGGCTACAGGAAACACTGATCAGATCATTCAAACTTGGGACAGAAGACAGTGAGAGACAGGGACAATTTTTAAATTTCAGATGGGGGTTTAGTGCTACAATATTATAATCACCTTTGATTACTCTTTTATTAATGCTATTTTTATGTCCATTGAGTTGGATGCTTTTCTATAAGAATAAAGAACCTTACATCAAATTTATATTTTGTTTTTCTCTACCCATTGATAGAAGAAAATAATTAATAACTAGTGAAATTCCTTCACTGTGATTTCTTGAAGAATATTTCTGATCCTTAGGGGACACAGCAAGTAGCTTTTTTTTTTTTTTTTTCCCTTGAGACAGGGTCTCACTCTGTTGCCTAAGCTGGAATGCAGTGATATGATCATGGTTCACTGCAACCTCTACCTCCTGGGCTCAAAAGATTCTCTCATCTCAGCCTCCCTAGTAGCTGGGACCACAGATGCACACCACTATGCCTGGCTGTTTTTAGAAGTTTTTAGTAGAGACAGTGTCCCACTATGTTGTCCAGGCTAGTCTCGAACTCCCAGGCTCAAGGGATCCTCCAGCCTCGGTTTCCCAATGTGCTGGGATTACAGGTGTGAGCCACCATGCCTAGCCAGTAGTCCATATTTTAACTTTCCAGGCAATAACTGGCTATATTACCTGAATTCATTCATTTATCCTTCTTTCATTTATTGAATTAACAAACACAGAGTGAGCATTGACTCTGTGCCAGGAACTGGGTTTGGGTTCATCTTTTAGGGTGACTTACCCTAAAGGTGATCCACCTTGGAGAGGAGCCCTCAGGTACTTCCCTTGATTATTTCTTCCCGCATCCTGGCACCTCTCTTGCTGTTTGCATATCAGCCATGTGGAAAGGGGCTGAGCTTCTGGTTCCCTCTGGCCTGTGCTTTTCTCTGATGTCAGAGGGATGTAGAAGCCAACCCTTGCTATTCATGCTCCAAGTAGGTCGGGCTTGCATTCCCTCTCAATCCCGCTTCTAGTGGCCTCTCCTGGGAAAGTGAGGGTGGTTGCCATGGTGATAGTTCAGCAAAAGCCCTGACCCTCTTTAGACACTTTCTGATTCATACAAATGAAAAGCCACGACACTGGCCTTCACTGAGAGGAAAATGTCCAGCTCCAAAAAAGGAGTGTCCATTCAAGGCCAATGTTGCACCTGCTGTGCTTTAGCGGTGGTGTCAGAGCTTCTGGAGAGCTGGGATGTGTGGTCACACAGGTCAGACTGACCAATTTCAAATCCAGATGCAAAGTCTATGCAAACTCCTGCACTTGGAGAGTGAAAAGGACAGTCAGGATTGTCCTGGCAGATGTGGACTACAAGGCTGCAAGGCTTTGTCCAGTGGAGTTGCAATGGCTCCTTCCAGCATACTCATGGCTCCTTGCCTGGACCACTGGGATCCTCAGCTGGCCACATATGTTCACCACATGGCTGGGAATTCACCACCTTGGAGCCTGACACTCTTGTCCAGGACTTGATGGAAGGCAGCCCGGGGCCTCTGACTGGCCTCTACTGGAAGCCAGCCAAGCACCTGACCCTGTCTGGAGATAAAACCAGCAGTGGGTTTCGCAGCCCAGCCCTCAAGACCATCCTTGGCTGCTCAGTATCACTGCAGAGAGCCCACCCCACCGCTGGCAACTCTGCTCTTACATTAAAATGGAAAGTCCACTGATGAGCAAACTCACGTCTTCCCAAATTTTTTCCTTTTGTTGCCACTGCTTGAGCCCCTTGATATTTACAATAGCTGGAAGAGCTACTTTGGTGAAACTCTAAAAAATATGAAATTCTTTTCTTAATGAAAGAGATCCAAAGCCTGTGCTAGGGCTGACAGCAAGGCAGAGGGAGCCTAGAGGAGGGTTGTTATGGGGCTGGAAGTGGGGATGAGGATGAGATCCAGCCAGCGGACACTGAGTGCCTACACTCCGCTTTGCAGAGAATAGAAGGGCCAATAGCTGCCTTTGGATGGGCAAAAAGGACAATTCAGTGTGGGTGTGGGGTCTGTATCTGGTGCTTTTGAGTGCAGATGAAGGGGGAACTTTCTTCGAGTTTTCCTTGACATATATAAATATGGGACAGACACTCTTACTCTGGAGATAGCTGAATAAAAATCAAGGAGCATTTAGAACTGACATGCCAGTAATTGCATTGTATTACTCTGTTTTCATGCTACTGATAAAGACATACCCGAGGCTGGGTAATTTATAAAGAGAAAGAGGTTTAATGGACTCACAGTTCCACATGAGTGGGGAGGCCTCACAATCATGGTAGAAGGCGAAAGGTACATCTTACATGGCAGCAGACAAGAGGAAATGAGAATGAAGTAAAAGGTGATTCCCCTGATAAAACCATCAGATTTCCTGAGATGTATTCACTACCATGAGAACAGTATGGAGAAAACCGTCTCCATGATTCAATTATATCCCACTGGGTCCCTCTCAAAACACATGAGAACTGTGAGAGCTACAATTCAGGTTGAGATTTGGGTGGGGACACAGCCACCACATCATGCGCTGAAGCCAGAGTTCCTCCCAGGGTTCGTGGCACCCTCTTTGCTTGAGAGACACAGCCTTTCCTAGACTCCCTTCTTCAGGGCCTGACCTGTGAGCTTGCTTCCATTCCTTCCAGTACCTGCCCCAGAGTTTCTCATCTGAAACCTTGCCCTGCCATGAGCTTACCTGCACGTCAGCTTCCCGCCTCCTCACCACCACCCTAGGTTATTTTGAAAGCTACTGTTTCATACTTCACACCCTTCTGGTCACAGAAAAAAGAAGGCCACTGGGGCTTGTTCTCAGAGCCAGTTTATTCTCATCTTGTTTTGTCCATTGTCTCTTCCCACCTGTTTGCCTCTGAATTTTCCATGCTGTTGATGGAGATTGTTCCAGTCCCTGTGACAGCACCAATCCTCTTCACTCAAGCCTTGTTAGCCATGTGAACATAGAGACTTCTTCCTGTGCTTCTACAGAGGTCAGGGAGAAGTGCCTCTGCAATACCCACCCCAGGTCTTTTTAGACTCAACTAAACATATCAGACTCATTAGGTGACCACATGTCACACTGGTCATCAGGCTCCTTTGGAAAATATAGAATGGGAAACACAGATGCCATCAGAGCAGCATCAGGCTCCTCTCTCCCATGGGAGTGGTCCTGGCAGCCTTCCAGACAGCCAGGAGCCAGAAGCTGTTGTCTTTGGTTCTCCAGGTGACAGCTCAGGTGAAAGGAAATAAGACTGTAACTGGACAAGTGTGAAGACCACTGTGTCTTAGAAGCCTCATGCCCCACTGGAGCTCGTAGCAACTCCATAGATGTAACTTTCAGGGTTCTTGCAAAATGTCCCATTACAAGAGTCACCGCACTCAGGGAAGCCTACAGTGTGACATCTCCACCACGTATAAATATAAACTATAGTTCCTCCCAGTTTAGATGACATTCACCAATCAGGGGTCACTTTGTTATAAACAATGTTGCTAGGTAACAATTTATATAATATTGTCTTTCTCAGGTTTCCAGGGGAACAGAGCTAGAAAATTAACCAAAGGTCTAATTCTCATGCAGAAAGGGAAAGAGCTTTATTAGCTATTCAAATGTTGCTTTCCAGAAGACAGAATATCTTGGAATCTGAGTAGTCTAGGTAAATCATCGCGTAACTTCAGAGTTTGGAATGTCCTGAGAAGCCATCTATCTACCTTTTATTTTGCAAATGGGAAAACTGAACCCAGAAAAGGGAAGTGACTTATTCACAGATATGTGATGAATTCATGCAAAATATATGACTGGTCCCCAAGGTTCCAGCCTCCTATGTCAGGAGGTTTCTCAGCTCTCTAAGGTCTTTCTTTTAGCTCTAACAGAGAAGAGGCAGGGGCCTTAAAGATGCATGGGAGTCCCCCTTTTGGCCTGTAGCATTCTTGCTTGGTGAGGCTGGTAGATGGGAGCAGTGACATCTCTCTGTCCTTGGCAGTGGCTGCTGGGTGCCCTGACCAGAGCCCTGAGTTGCAACCCTGGAACCCTGGCCATGACCAAGACAACCATGTGCATATCAGCCAGGGCAAGACACTGCTGCTCACCTCTTCTGCCACAGTCTATTCCATCCACATCTCAGAGGGAGGTAAGCCAATCTCTCTCTGCTGCTCCCTCTTCCCTCCACTGCCCCACAACTTAGCAGATAGGATGCAGGTTGCCATGAGCTCAGATGGACAGAATAAACATCACATGATTTGGGTTCATGTTGGCATTTGGTTGTTTGAGATAACCGTCAGTTCTGAGCTGTTAGGAATGGCTTGTCGGAGGTCCAATCTTAGTGAAAGGAGCATTTATAGAGGAAACTCCTTATTGGTGTTTTGAGTAATTCTGCTTATCTTACCTTTAGAGGCCTGGTCATTGAATGCAGTACATGCAGTGATGGCATTTGAGCAGACAGACATTATTTACACATTGTAAAGCAGACAGCATAGAAAAGGAATTACAGCCGGCCCTCTGTATCTGTGGGTTCTGCTCATGAATTCAACGAATCCCAGATTGAAAATATTCCAGAAAATTTGCACCTGTACCGAACATGTACAGACTTTTTTTCTTGTCATTATTTCCTAAAAATACAGTTTAACAATGACTTATACAGTATTTACACTGAATGAGGTATTATAAGCAATCTAGAGATGATTTCATGTATATGGGAGGATATGCATAGGTTAGATGCAAATATGCAAATACTATGCCATTTGAACCAGGAACTGGAGCATTCATGGAGTTTGGTATCTGTGGGAGGTGCTGGAACCAATTCCCTTCAGATACTGAGGGATGACTGTACTTGTAAGTACACCAAGCATAGAAATGTTTGGAAGATGTGCCTTTTTGCCTGTCCCGGTGAGATGGGGGTTGCTTAGGGAGTCTGCCCTTGGCTCTGATATAACCTTACCCTTAACACTGTGTTATTAAACCTCCCCCCAATGCTACCTCTTCAGGCAAGCTAGTCATTAAAGACCACAATGAGCCAATTGTTTTGCGAACCCGGCACATCCTGATTGACAACGGAGGAGAGCTGCATGCTGGGAGTGCCCTCTGCCCTTTCCAGGGCAATTTCACCATCATTTTGTATGGAAGGTGCGTAGACCACTCCTACAGATCAAATGCCACCCGTGGATCTGACAAGAGGGAGGCTTTCCAAGACAGAGAGAGAGGCAAGAGGGCAAGACTTGCCTGTAAGATAGGAATCATTCTGTCCTGCCAGATGGGGATCATGAACAAGACAGACATGGTGATTTGGGACAGCTGAAGTCCATGAGGCATGTTATTTATAGTGGCCTGAATGCTATACTTGTTTTAGAGATGGGTTTGCCAGCCTTTCAGCTACCTTCCAATCATATCATGCTCAGGGAGGCTCTGCAAGTGTTTATATAATAGGCTATGATGGACAAGATACAGGAAAATTCCAAGTGGTACTTGCCCCCTGGCTGTGTTCCCTCTTTCAACAATTGAGAGTGCTAAGAAGTGAGAGCCAGGAATGCACAAGGGTATGCAGTTCATGTCCAGGTGATTCTGCATCTGATATGGACCAAAATACAAAACACTTAGAACTGAATGGAAGACGTGCCAACCTGTGAACTAATAATTGGCACTTCTGCTTGGCCCTGAGGGCTTTATTTTGGTCTGGCTTAGGAAGATTGGGTTGCTAATGTTTTTGTTGTTATTGTTGTTGTTGCTTTGAGATGGAGTCTTGCTCTGTGGCCCAGGCTGGAGGGCAGTGGCATGATCTCAACTTACCACAACCTCTGCTTCCTGGTTCAAGCAATTCTGGTGCCTCAACCTCCCAAATACCTGGAACTACAGGCGTGTTCCACCACACCTGGCTGATTCTTATATTTTTAGAAGAGATGGAGTTTCACCATGTTGGCCAGGCTGGCCTTGAACTCCTGACCTCAAGTGATCTGCCCGCCTCGGCCTCTCAACATGCTGGGATTACAGGCATGACCCACCATGCCCTGCCGCTAGTGTTATTTTTGCTGACCTTAGGTGATAAAAGTGTAATTGGCTCTATGGTGGCTATGGTGGGGAGTCAGGGAGCTGAGCTGTGACTCCTAGGTTCCTTCTGGGTTCAGTATCCAGTAAAAGAGATGTGTCAGCCAACTTTGGGGAGCTGTTTTCTCTTGCAGGGCTGATGAAGGTATTCAGCCAGATCCTTACTATGGTCTGAAATACATTGGGGTCGGTAGAGGAGGCACTCTTGAGTTGCATGGACAGAAAAAGCTCTCCTGGACATTTCTGAACAAGACCCTTCACCCAGGTGGCATGGCAGAAGGAGGCTATTTTTTTGAAAGAAGCTGGGGCCACCGTGGAGTTATTGTTCACGTCATCGACCCCAAATCAGGCACAGTCATCCATTCTGACCGGTAAGGTTTGCCTTCACTTAAACGTATACTCATTCATTCAAAGTACGCTTATTGAGTGTGCTTCCTGGCCAGGTGCTGCTCTAGGTGCTGGGAGAACAGCATGAATGAAACAGATGGAAATCCCTGCCTTCAAGGAGTTCTGTCCTTCCCCAGGCATTGGCCCAATGATGCTGAACTGAAGAGGAGCAAGCATACACACATACGTACACATAACGTAGTTTCAGATTGTGATAATTGGTAGTAAGTGGGAAAAAAGACAGAGTGAGATGCTAGAGTGTAACTAGGGAAGACCACTTTTGATAGGGTGGTCAGGGAAAGGCAGTGTAAGGACGCAACATGTGAGCTGAGAAATGAAGGGTGAGGCTATGTCAGGGAAAGAGTATTCAAGAGAGAGAACAAGTGCAGAAGGCCAGAGGTATGAAAGGGCATGACATTCTCAAATGAAGGAAAGGCCATTAGAGTGGTGGGAGCACTGTGAGTGGCGCAAGAGCAGCACGCAGTCACTTGGAAGTTACAAATGGGGATGGGACAGGACCTCGGAGGCCATGATAAGGAGGTGGGTTTTCTTCTAAGTGGGATGCAAAGTCACTGAAAGGCATTAAGAAGAGCATGAGCTGATTTAAAAGAACTTTCTGGCTGCTATGTAGAGAATGGTTTTAATTGTGGAGGCAAAAGCCAAGACGGTGCAGGGGGTTAGGAAGCTTCTGCTGTGGTCTAGGCAAGACATGGCAGTGGTGAGACCCAAAAGGAGTGACGGTTAGTGGATGTACCTGTGAGATGTTTGGAAGGCAGCATGGGCAGGTGTAAGCTGGCAGATTCTGCCAAGGCTGGACCTTCCCTGCAATCCCAGCGGCTCTCATCCTGGCCCTTCAGAGGGAAGGACAGAGGTGTGGTAGACAAGCAGAGACAGAGCAATCCTGGGACTGCTGGGGGAGGGAGACAGGCATTCCTCAAGAATTCCCAAGCTGTGGGTGTCACCATGAAGGCAGCAGGAGCCAGCTGTGGTCAGGGACAGGGTGGGCAGGAGCTGCAGTGCCTGCTGGTGCTCACAGACACCCAACATTGCTGGTAAACATTAGTACCTTTAATAGTCACTGGACTTTCTTCCCGCAAAACACTGTTCATCACTTTACCTGTCAAATATATTCAATCTTCATCAAAATTCTGTGAGGCAGGTTCTGTTATTATCCACCTTATACACATGAAAGCACTGAGGCTCACAGGGCTAAATTTACGCAGTCACAAGGTTGGAACGTGTTGGAAATGGGATTCAAACCCAGGTGTGCCTGTATTGCCTCCATAGGCTGCCTAGTGACAGCCATTTGCCTTGCCCTGAGACTGAGCAAGGTTGAGCCCACAGGAAACAGCTGACGACTTGATTGACACAAAGTATGTCAGCGAGCCCCTGCCTTCATACTAGAGAGGATGGCCTCTTCAATTGTGTGTTGATCTTTTTGGTGCTGTTTCTTAAGTACAACACTGTTACTTGCAGAGATCTAACTTAAAGTTTATTTACTGACCTGTTAATGAGAAGTGATCTGGACAGATGCTGTGGAGATGGCAAGGACAGAATGTCTGTTTGTTCCGAATATCTTTTACCTAAAGTATGTGTTGGAGATCTCAATAATCTGATAGATGAATGTGTATGAGTAAAGATATTAATAAGCACACACGCACACGCACGCGCACACACACACATGTAAATGCAAGCAAAAGTCATCTGAGAAGGTCACTCAGAGAAGCAGGAACTTAGGTCAGCTCTTGAAAGGTAGTAGGTGTTTGATCAGGTAGAGAAAAGGTGGGAAGGAATGATGAAGACAGGAGTGGGTGGGTGAGGTGGTCACTGAGAAGCACTAGGCTTGTAGCAGGAGCTTCCTGGGGAAGGTCAGTGGAGGGTGCGAGCTTAGGTGGGACTGGACTAGATTGTGCCACATTTAGAAACAAGTGTGAGGACCCAGGAGCAGCTATCCAGCTACCACTGGTACCAACATTGTTTTTCTTTTCCAAAAACTTCCTTAGATTACTTTTCCAGATTCCTTTTAGAACTATTTTCCTTAAGTTCCAAGACATATTCTTTAGGAATTTCCACTGTAATTGCATAAAATCTTTATCCTTACATGGGGAAGAGTTTGAATCATTACAAAATTGTGTCTTTGCTTTGTAAATTATTCTCACCAGAAGTATAGATTTTTTGTGTGTGATTTGTATTTCATGGATATTTTATGTGCATGAGGGTAGGTTATCAGTCAATTTGGAGATTATTAGTTCTTGCTCTTATAAGAGATCTGCTGTCTAATTGCACGATACTGTATAGTACACTTAAAATTTTAAGAGGGTGGATCTCAACGTAAGTGTTCTTACCACAATAAAGTAAAATAATTTTTACTTTATTAAATTATTAAATTAATTAATTTACTTTATTAAAAATTTATTAAATTAATAAAGTAAAATAATTTTTAAAAAGTAAACAGGAGAACATAGCAATGCAACAACATTTACAATACTCAAATGCTATATGACTGCTAGTGTGTGAATCAAGATTACATTTTAATGATTCTAAGATGCATTATCATAAGAATCATTAACAGGTCAATAAATAAACTTTAAGTTGGATCTCTGCAAGTAACTCTCTGCAAGCTGCTCTAGGGGTGGGAGAAGGGATTTGGGATAGTCTCCATGTCATTTCCAAGAATTCTAGTACTGGTGTTTTAGTCTAGATCAGAGATATAAATTCCTAATGCCCTAGCTATCTGAACTATCTCCTAAAGTCAGGCTCTTGCAAGAGGCATGATCCTCTGCCTCCAGGATGAAAAGGGAACATCAAAAGGCCTAGACCTCAAGTATGTGACCCACTCAATATCCTGGAGCTTGAAGTCTTCACTGCTGCAATCATTTCTTTGGCATTTTACTTAGCGAATGAACATTATGGTCAAGTCATAACCCTTCTTCTTGGCTATCCCTGTATGGTATGCAAAATAATGAAACATGCTTGCTCTTTAAAGAAAAGGCTTCCTTCTTTAAGAATTGTAGCCCTGGGATCATCGGATAGCATGTTAGTTGTTGCAGCACAGACATGTGCTTAGAGTTCTCTGTTTTGGCATCTGTCAAGACTATTCAGATCTCTTCTCTCTGCCCTTTTTAGGTTTGACACCTATAGATCCAAGAAAGAGAGTGAACGTCTGGTCCAGTATTTGAACGCGGTGCCCGATGGCAGGATCCTTTCTGTTGCAGTGAATGATGAAGGTTCTCGAAATCTGGATGACATGGCCAGGAAGGCAATGACCAAATTGGGAAGCAAACACTTCCTGCACCTTGGATTTAGGTACTGCCCCTCACTTCGGCTTCCACTGGGCTCTGGAACATTGAAGCCACCCTATCCCACTGAGAATTTACCTTTCCCATCTCCTCTCCCCATAGCCGTACCATCCTAAATGACCTGGTGGATACAGGCATTTGCATTTGACATCTGCATTTGGCATATTTGGGGATTGTTCTTAAAGAAAGCTTGTTTTTTTCTTACAAGCATAGTTCACTCAAAAAACACAAAAGCTCTGTGTTTATGTGAACTCATTCATTCAGCCAGCCACTTACAAAATATTAAGTGAGTATCCACTGTGTGTAAGAGCCATGCCTCCAATGCACAACTAATATTCATTTTCCCTTTCTTTGGCAAAGGGATCTTGTCATGGCTTGGGGATTGGCAGATAGTTTTTCAAAGATTATGTGAAATGTTTCTGCTGAGCCAAATGCCCAAGGAGAAGCAGCCCTTTGACATGTTCTAGTGTGTGTTTTGTTTGCCTTGGAGTGCAGCATCATGCCTGTCATTGGCATGCACACACATTGGCACCAAGAGGACGCTGCTTGCCCCATAGTAAACACACCTTTAAAAAAAAATTCATTTAATTTAAAGTTCCGGGATGCATGTGCAGGATGTGCAGGTTTGTTACATAGGTAAACGTGTGCCGTGATGGTTTTCTGCACCTATCAACCCATCGCCGGGGTATTAAGCCCAGCATCCATTAGCTATTTGTCCTGATCCTCTCCCTCCCTCTGCCCCCGCCCCTGCCAGGCCCCAGTGTGTGTTGTTCCCCTCCATGTGTCCATGGTAAGCATGCCTTTTCATCATGTTGAATCAAATCTCAGCTCAGTGGAAAGTTGAGGTTATCTGTCCCACGGCTGTTTAGAGATTATGATGCTCCCCACTTCAGCTTCCCGCATCTGGGAGCAAGATCAGAGGGAAGCCAGAGACTTTTCTGGGCTTGGAGCAAAGCAATTTTGCTGGCTGGGCAGAAATTCCCTGGGCAAGGGAGGGGAGCTCCAGGTTCCAGAGTGCATTCTCCGACAGCCCAGAGACTACTTCTTCTGGATGGGAAACTCAAGCAGGAAACTTAAGCAGCCAAAGATGACAATGATACCTTGGCATTGCAAGTCTCCTTTGTTAGCAAACACTAAGTGCACTTCCATTCTGTTGTTTTATAAACCAAAAGGCCAGTTTATTAATTTACAGTGAGAGAAACACCAGGAAGCTGACTACTTAGGGCCTCAGCAGAAGAAGAAAGTGGCTAAGGGCCCAAGATCTGACATCCGGTGGCCTGAGTTTGAGTCTGGGTTGTACCTCCTAGGAGGTGTGACTGCAGGCAAGTGACTCATTCTCTTTGCCTGGTCCTGAGTCTGTAAAATAGGATATACCAGCAGCTATCTCAAAGGACTATGGGACAATTAAATGTGATAATATGAGCAAAATATTTTTCATCATGTCTGGCACAGAATAAGCACTCCATAAATGTTAACAACTATTTTCTCCTTATAAACAAGAGCCACTGGAAAGATGGGCACTCACCATCTTTTGCTAGGGCGGTTCACATGGGCAAAGGAGATATGTAGGCAGGAATTACATGTCCACACCTCATTTGTATAGAGACATTCTTTGAGTGATAAACTTAAAGCATCGAAAATCAGTAGGAGAACTGAAACTTGGACCCTTCATTTGTTCACACATTCAGGAAATGATTATTGAACACATACTGGTGGGAGGTACTCGGTTAGACTAGGTGTCCTGAGCTCTCGGGGGAAGGCAGGTATGAATGGAAATTGGTGATGGGGCATGAGAGAGCAACAGAGCGGGCAAGTGGAATTTAGTGCAGATGAACACATGAGGATGAGACCAAGAAAGTTCCCATAGAGAGATCAGCAGCTTCGGAGGCCCAGGGGCAAAAGTATGCCTCTCCCAAAGAAGGTGGGGATGGTCAGGCAGTGGCAGTATATGAGAGAGGGCAAGGGATGAGAGGTGAGGCTGGAGGAGGGCGGGAGCAGAGGACCTTCGATTCTGTGCCAAGGAGCTTGGATTTTATCCAAAGGGCAATGGGGAACTACTGAAGGATTTAAGCAGGAAAGTGGACAGTCAAATCCCCAACCGCAATTAAACACCGTTCAATAGTGACTCATTTTCCAAGACAAGAGATCAAGACAAGAATAATGAGAGCTATTCAGCACCAAAATCGATTGATGGCTTATAGTAAGAGAGGCTACTGTAGGGGAGGAAAACCTCTTTCCTTCTACTCTTCTAAGTTCTTGGCTGGAGCACCTGCAACAAATCACTGATTAACAGGAGAAAAGCACACAAATGTAGTAAGTTTTACACAACACAGGAGCCTTCATAAGGAAACAAGGACCCAAAGAAACAGTTACACCTGAGTATCTGTACACGAGGTTTGATGAAGTGGAGAGCTGTGGGAAAATGTGGTAGGACAAGGGGCTTGAGTTAAGCACAGTAAACAGGGGAAACTTAGCAAGGTCTCTGTTCCTTCAGTTTCCTCTTGGCTTCCTTCTGTGTTTGGGGATAAGGATGATCTTTTTCTCAGAATAAGGAAGGCCCTCTCACATAAAGGTCTTAGACCTGCTTCAGGGGAAAGTCAGAAACTCCTTCCTGCCAGTTCACAAATTCCTTGAGCTTGAAATATTAAATATGCCAAGTTGCCATTTTGGGGGGTAGCATGTCCTGAACCCCATTACTGCATTAGGCATTATGCAAAATGCCTAAAACAAAATGGGGTAAGAAAACTTTCCCGCCCTAAAGCAGCATGTGCTTTCATGGAGGAAAGATGGATGTACAATTTTTGAAAACCTTAAACCGTTTTTTGCTTCCCTCCCCATTAAGAAGAAGAGAGATTTCTCTCCTTTCCACGGCCCAAGGCAGATGGCTAGGGTAGTCAGTCACGTTAGCCTCTGGTATTTTCCTCGAGCTCAACTCTAGGGGAGCTGAGCATGAGAGAAACAACCTTTCTCTCTTGGAACATGTTTTCCTGAAGGTATCCAAGCACTTGCTTCAGGACATAATTGAGCTTGGCGGGAGGTATGGTAGGTCTGTTGGCTTGTTTGTTTATTTGTGATTCATACTCCCATCTTCTGCCAGAATGGAGCTGAAGAGACTCACAGGGAGCAAACATCAGGCAGGCCAGCGAGCGAGGAAGCCCAGAGGAGTGCTTGCAAAGAAAGGTGCTTCTTCTGGAGAAGAGAAGCCCAGCAAGTGAATGAATTTCCCCCAAACAGCAGGGAGGGACCCTCTTCCACCTGATGCTGCTTCAACTCTGTTCCATCCCCCCACACCCTGTGCAGGTTCAGACTCATGCAGAACTTTACTTTTTGTTATTTGTTTCTTTTTTTCAGACACCCTTGGAGTTTTCTAACTGTGAAAGGAAATCCATCTTCTTCAGTGGAAGACCATATTGAATATCATGGTAATACATAGCTGGCTGGAGGCCTGATTCCCTCCAGTGTCTCTCTGACCAAGAGGTGCAGGGCTTTTCTGAACAGCTCACTTTTCTCTGAGCATGATTGTCCAGCTCCCAATGCCTAGATGAGTGAGTAGCCGCTTAACTGGCCACCTTACATGGAAGTGGCAAAGGCCAATGCTGGCCAAAGACCCATCACTTGCGATAATATTTACCTTTTCATGGAAATCTTCACTGACTTAATCTAAAACCTAGAATTGGCATAGAAAAGATAAGAACGGAGATAGAGCCAGCAGGGTTGGTACTTTAAGAGCTAAAACGAGGCCGGGTGTGGTGGTTCACACTTGTAATCCCAGCATTTGGAAAGGCTGAGGCAGGTGGATCACTTGAGATCAGGAGTTCGAGACCACCCTAGCCAATATGGTAAAACCCTGTCTCTACTAAAAATAGAAAAAAAAAAAAAATTAGCCAGGCACGGTGGCGGGCGCCTGCAGTCCCATCTACTTGGGAGGAGGTCACACCACTGCACTACAGCCTGGGTGACAGAGAGAGACCCCGTCTCAAAAAAATAAAAAATAAAAAGAAGAGCTAAAACAACACTTTAGATGGGCTTTCAGGACACAGTGGTAGCCTCCTTTGCCCAGCAAAGGCTGTGGGAAGCGCTGCAGTTCTAATGCCAAGGAAGAATTCAGACCATGAGACACGCTGGAGTTCTACAATCTGAATTCGTTGGGAGGCTGGAACTAAACTGTCAAAACCGAAGCAAAAGAATGGATGATAATCTGCTTCCCAAGTGAATGAATGACCTGATTTTCTTTTATCTACTTAAAAAAATTTTTTTAAAGAACTGAGTCAATGTCCATGTGTGTAGGGGGATTTCCTTGCCTTGGAATCATAGCTTTTTGAATTTGGAGGTCTATCCAGCTCCTAAAGGGTCTGGTTTCTCTGACAGGACATCGAGGCTCTGCTGCTGCCCGGGTATTCAAATTGTTCCAGACCGAGCATGGAGAATATTTCAATGTTTCTTTGTCCAGCGAGTGGGTTCAAGGTGAGGAGTTTCAGACAATTTGGTGACCCCTAAGAGTGGGATAGAAGACCAGAAATCACTGTCTTTTGCAGAACTAGGATTTATCTCTTGTACCAGTAGGACCACTTTAATTTTTGCAGAATCAACTAAAAATGTGCAACCAAACGTTGTCTTTAATTAGTCAAGCCACTTTAGCCCATAGCCCAGAAGGATGTTGTCCTCTGGCTAAGATTTCAGTTTCACCTCAGTCAGGGTCTGTGGCATTCAGCTTAGTTCACAGAATATCTTTGATGTGGCAGGCAATGGCACTGAACAGGAAATGCAGATAGGAATAGAACCTGCCCTTCAAATAGCCCACACTCAAGGACTACAGAAAGCAGCAATCCTAGTTGCAGTCCTTGGATAATGGGTTTACAGACGGACTTTCTTTCTTTTCTCTTGGTTTATTTGCTTTTGCAATAACAAAGAATATAAATTGCTTTTATAAAAGTAAGAAACTCATTAAGAGAAACTCATTTTTTAATTAAAACGTGGGAGTGTAGGCAGATTGATTAGAACCATCCATGCCCCAGCCTGGTGCAACCACAGACAGATAATATTCACTTCCCATGGTACTGAGGACGCTTGGAGACACACTGAGTGTGACTTGCCCTCACAGGCAACCTCCTGTCTGACTGTGCTGTTTGCTTTCTGCCTAGATGTGGAGTGGACGGAGTGGTTCGATCATGATAAAGCATCTCAGACTAAAGGTGGGGATAAAATTTCAGACCTCTGGAAAGCTCACCCAGGAAAAATCTGCAATCGTCCCATTGATATACAGGTACCAAACTCACAGCAAAAATAGAAAATAGAAACGTGTTGCTTTGAAGAGGACTCTATAGATCACAGACATTCTTGCCACTTGCGTGCTGTGATTCTCATGGCCCTCCTGTGAGGTAGGTCAGTCAAAGAGTACTGTTCCCACTTTAGAGACTGAAGCAGAGGCTTACTATCTGCCCAAAAACCAGGGCTCAGATTCTCTCCTGGGTCCAGCTTCCGAGTTCCTTCTCTTTAACTTGCTTCTTCAGCCATGGCTGAGTGTGCCCCCACCACGGGGATGGGTTTGGCCTCCCCAGCCTCACTTCCCAGTCAATTTCCTTAGGGACCTTGAGTGCACAGGATGCAGCTAGGATTTGGGGTGCAGGCCAGGCCAGCCCAGATGTAGAACACACGCACAGCCTTGTTCTCAACTGAGCTAAATCAAAGCCAGCATTCATAGAATGGACAGTGTTTGCTCAAAATCTTCATTGGAGTTAATTCCATCTGAAGGGGACCTTGATGTTCTCAGTTGGCCCCATCCATCAAGAAAGTGTTGAGTAAATACACAGGCCTCACCATTCACCAGCTGAGCCAATGGGATACTGGGCTTTGGGAACAACAGGAGAGACAGGAGAAATAGGCAAGGTAAGTGAGATTTATTTCCTTATGTCCAGTCTCATTCCAAGACAAGATTTGAGGCTGCTTAAATGCTTGATAGAGAATTAGAAGTCATTTGAGCTGGGCTCAGTGGATCATGCCTGTAATCCCAGCACTTTGGGAGGCTGTGGGGAGATCACTTGAGGTCAGGAGTTAGAGACCAGCCTGGTCAGTATGGTGAAACCCCTCTCGACTAAAAATATGAAAAAAAAAAAAAATTAGCTTGGTGTGGTGGCGGGTGCCTATAGTCCCAGCTACTCAGGGGTCTGAGGCAGGAGAATTGCTTAAAGCTAGGAGGTGGAGGTTGCAGTGAGCTGAGATCACATCACTGCACTCCAGTCTGGGTGACAGAGCAAGACTCCGACTAAAAAAAAAAAAAAAGGCATTTGAGAAAGGCCATTTCCACCCGTTTTATCCTCCTTCAGCCAATAAAAAGAGCTACCACATTTGTACAACACTTTTTCCTAGAATATCAAAGCTCACATCCCAGGTCAGCTTGAGTCCCAGGCCATCTGTCTGTGCTTTCACCCTGCCACACCATCCTGATCAGAACTTCTGCCCTCTGTCTTGCATTGTAGGAAGGAGCCCTTATCCAAGGGAGGAGCCTCTGTACTGCACTTAGCAAAGGCTGAGGAAAACTTTCTCATTATTTGGCTAAGGCTCTTCCCTTCACATGGCTTCAATGTTATTGAGAAGGATTTACCCAGATTAAGTTTCAAGTTGCAGATTCTCCTTGGGTCCAACAGAATCAAAAAGCACTGATCCCCCACAGCACATTCTTTCCAGATTTAATTTTAATTTTCTCTCGTAACCTTGAATGTTCCAGCTTTAATTCTGAAATAGCCATAATCTTATCCCTCCAGTTCACTTGACCACAGGAAGTCTAGCTCTTTACCAACCTCCCCTCTCCAAATACTTCTGGAAATGCTCAAGGAATGCTTACGTGGTCTACAAATCTTTCCCGGTGTTTGCTCTGCCAGTTGTCTGGCTCCAGACATTGTTGATTGGAAGACCACCTCTCGGTGCCAGGAAAACAGCATTCCTTAGACATTCTCCACTCTTGCATTTACTTTGCTCCCAGCACAGACACAGGCCCTTCCTTGAATGTCCCAAAACACAATTAAACCCAGGCTGAGAGCTCCGAAAGCCAAGACCCTTCATAGGGACCCAACCCTACACTCTATAGCTATTAGTCTGTTGCCATATTTCAAGGCCTAGTTTTCTTCCAACAAAAAGAGTTCCCTTGACAATACATTCTCCATGTTCGAGTTCTCCATTATTTGAGGTTCAGAGAATAGAAGATCCAACAGCAGTGTGGTCCCCTTACTCAGAAGCTTAGGGAAGTCTTCCCACAATGAAAGCATTCAGAACTCCCAATTCCATAATAAGACCTTTGGCTTTTTCTTGGCAAAACCAAGGTCTATTGAGATGGTCATCTAAGAGGTAAGAGTCATGTGCCTCCAAGGGTGAATTCAAACCTCCATCTCTACCGACGAGAAGATGTTGTCATGCTGGAAAGATCAGTCTTACTCCTAATTCTCACCACCAATCTTTAATCAATGGTCATCCCCAGACTTAGCTAGAGCATCTCTTCATACTCATCAAAGGTAAAAATGGTGATACAGAATATGCTCCTGGATGTTTCCAAGGCCAGAAAAACAAAGCCAATCTTTTTTATGGTCACAAGAGGTGAGAGAAGCAGGATCTCCTCCTTTTTAGCAGGTGACAAACGCATCAGCCAAAAGCTAAATGACCTAGTTAATTAACCCAGGGAGAGACTAAGATGAAACAGAACTTTCCACATGCTCATTTTTGCCACTATTGCAAAAATGCAGTTTTTCTCTGGTCACCTGGTGCCTCTCACCTCCCCAGGCCCTGAGCTCTTACGTGCTCCTCTTCCTGCTTGTGTCTGCCCCCAGTGCCCAACTCCGTGTCATACACAGTGGGTCCCGGGATACCTGCCATGCACTGACATAGCCAGATCCTCTGGGCCAGGGAGTGTCAAGGACATTTGCAACCTAGGCAAGATTGGAGGAGGCAGGTTGGGAAGAAAGGGGAAGCAGCAAGACTGCACAGTTGACCTTAAGAAAAGCTTTTCCAAGATCTGATATTTTGTGATTCTGAAAAAAATAATAATAACAAAAACACACTGTTTCTATGTCTTGCCCTTCGTTCAATTCTCCTTGGCTGAAAATTCTCTTGCCTCCCACCTTCTCTCTTAAAACCCAGCCACCCTTCGAGGCCAGTGGGATCTACTGGACTCAGATTTCCTTGGGGACATCAGGCAGTCTGTGTGTTCCCCACAGCAGCTGGTGCAGTGGCTAGAGGTTGGCCTGATGGTAATGAAAACATATTTTGAAGTCAGAGAGATCTAAGCCTGCCAGAGAGATCACAGCTCTACCACTTGTGAGGTTTGGCATATCAGCAAGTGAGTTGCCCACAGTGCAAAATTTAAGGCAGCCCGCTCCCTCCAGTGCCAACTCAATACTTGCATGACCCCAAGAGTGGGTGCTGCCTTAAATTTTGTGCCCTGGGTACCTCACTCACAGTCTTGTTACTTAGTGCCTCAGTTTCCTCACAGTAAAAATAGGGCTAATAATTGTTTCCTCATGGGCATGTTTTGTGGATTCAGTGCAGTGAAGTGTGCAAACCGAAAAGTGGCCCACACATTTTTTATTATTTAAAATTAATTTGTCGGCCGGACACAGTGGCCCATGCCTGTAATCCAAGCACTTTGGGCGGCCAAGGTGGGTGGATCAATTGAGGTTAAGAGTTTGAGACCAGCCGGGCGCTGTGGCTCACGCCTGTAATCCCAGCACTTTGAGAGGCCGAGGCGGGCGGATCACGAGGTCAGGAGATCGAGACCATCCTGGCTAACACGGTGAAACCCCGTCTCTACTAAAAATACATGGTGGTGGGCGCCTGTAATCCCAGCTACTCGGAGGCTGAGGCAGGAGAATGGCGTGAACCCAGGAGGCGGAGCTTGCAGTGAGCCGAGATGGTGCCACTGCACTCCAGCCTGGGCAACAGAGTGAGGCTCCGTCTCAAAATAAATAAATAAATGAAATGAAATGAAATAAAATAAAATAAAACAAAATTATTAGTTATAATATTGATAATTATTTTGTTACTAATTATTATTACCAGGAATAATAATAAACTCAAGTCTACTTAAAGATCTGTTTCTCTGAATGACGATGGATTCCCTTTTACTCTTCTTATCCAAAACTGAGGTCATTCTTCAGGTTAGAAAAAGGAAAAAAAGAAAAAGCAGCAGAATTGAGTAAATGTTCTCCTGGAATTATTGTTGGATATTGCACCTGGAAAAAATCTCCAGCTCCCTTCGATGATGTTTCCAGCTCAGTTCTCAATCTTACGGGGTCTCCCATTGAAGAACATGCTAGCCTCAGGGGAAAATGTCAGGAGGCCGGAGGAGCTGGGCTTACCTTAACTGACCTTGAGCTTACATCTGAACCCCATCAGCATTGACCTCCATCTAAAAAGCAAGTTTGCAACCCCTGATTCTCTGGCTGCTGCGGAGACCACCTGAGATAGTGGGTGTGAGTGTGTTTTTGCAGGAAATGACTGAGTTTTAATTGTGGCTGAACTCACATCCACATGGCTCTTCTTCCAAGCCAAAGATAACGGATCTGCTGGGTTTAAAACAATGTTTCCTAAAAAGTCCTCTCTTTTTTTTTTTTTTTTTTTTTGATCGGCTATACTTTCCTTCCTTATTACCCCAGTCTGGTCCCTTTGGTCTCTATGCCAAAGATGACAGCAGCTACAGCCCTTGCTCTAAATTGCATGTCTCTGAATGATAGTCACGGTCAGGATGCAGACACACCCTGGCTCTGGGATGGGCCCCAGCTGGCAGGGATCGTGCCCTCCTGGGAGCCTGCTCCCTAAATTCTCCACCTGGCCTTGTGGCGGCTCACCAGCCAGCCCTCATCCACTGAGACCTCACTCTGTGCCAGGCCCTGGGCTGAATGCTGGGGACAAGGGGGCAGAAACCAGCTCCTTGCCCTCCCAGAGCCCACCATGTGGTGGGAGGAGGCAGACATTTGAACAAAAGACATTAGGTGGCTTCCGCCTTAGGGCAAGAGTGGATGGGGCTTAGAAGTGTTGCGTTGTAGTTACATAAGTCTGGGTTCAAGTTTTAGCTCTGCCACCTACTGACTTTGTGATCCAGGGTAAGTGACTGAACCTCTCTTAGGATGAGTTTCCTTATCTATAAAAGTAACAGCAGCCTCATAGTTTTGCTATGAAGATGAAATGAAATAATATAGGTAAACATCTAGCTTTATAACTACACAAGTGGTTCTCAAACTTTCTTGCCCATTAGAATCACCTGGGCAACTTTTAAAAGTCCAGATTCCATGCTGCACCCCAGACACAATCAAATCTGAGACTCCAAGGATGGGGACTGGGCATGAGTATTTTTTAAAGACTCCTCCCCAGGGGACGTGGAACCATGTTTGGCCTGTTGGCCGCTGTTCATGGTGCTGGTAGAGGTGGTGCAAACTGTAAAAGTGGCCAGCCCAGAGCCTAGAAGAGTGGTTACTTATTGTAGATGCTCCATAAAATGTTCACCCAGCCATAAGCAGTAGATCACTGGTTTCAATATTGAGTACTGTAGGACCTCAAGCCAGGCATTTATCTATTCCAAGACTTTAGGCTGTCTTTCTCATAACAAAAGTGATGGGGGCAATCATTGGGATAATCATCTCAGGCAGTTGTAAATAGTGTTGCAGCAGGGACAATTTTAGACCTCTGAGTATATGTTTAGAACATTAATCATCACCTTCCTTCTTTATTAAAAAAAATGACTTTGCTCTGTAATTTCTGTGTCATTCCCAGGCCACTACAATGGATGGAGTTAACCTCAGCACCGAGGTTGTCTACAAAAAAGGCCAGGATTATAGGTTTGCTTGCTATGACCGGGGCAGAGCCTGCCGGAGCTACCGTGTACGGTTCCTCTGTGGGAAGCCTGGTAAGCAGCCCCTTGTCGGGGATGCAGATGCAACTATGGCTCGGTTCCTTGAACTGGCAGCTATGCAGGCAACCTCCAGACATCTCAGTGAGACAGTACTCCCAAAGGAGAGCACTTTTGTAACACAGGAGCAGTGGGAGGATCCTTAGAGTTGGCAGGAGACAGCAGAACCCCACCCTGCCCATAAGCCTTTCAGGAAAGGGAAGGGCCTGGTCCAAGACAGTCAACGTACAGATGGACAGAGCTGTCCTCCCCTGCAGAGATGTGCAGCTCTTTGCCTCTTTGGGTGCTATTATTTTAAACCCAGTTCCTAAGGTGCTTGTTAGAAGAGATTGGAAATGGTCGGGTTGTTCTCAGAGGCACTTGGCCATCTCCAGAAGGCAGTCATTAGGAATGAAAGTTTAGGGGGAGAGGTTTATGGCAACTGAAAATAATAGTTGAGAGGAACTATATTTGTTTTACATCTTGAGCAAAGTGGGTGGGGTGAGGCAGCCACATTTAACTCCAGCTAAGAAGTTAGTGGAAAATTCCCCTGCCCAGAGCTAATGAATGGCTCTTTTCTGGTAGGGTTTTTGTTGACTTCAAAAACCTTTACCAAGAGTGGGATGGAGCAAGCTAGTGATTTGGGTTTTGGATAGGCAAACCTGGCATTTAGTTATTTATGGAGGGGAAGGGAAAAAAGAGATAGCCAAAAGTTTGCCAAGGGCAAAGGCCTCTATCTCAGTCTTTCCTGTTTTGGGTTACAGTGAGGCCCAAACTCACAGTCACCATTGACACCAATGTGAACAGCACCATTCTGAACCTGGAGGATAATGTACAGTCATGGAAGCCTGGAGATACCTTGGTCATTGCCAGTACTGATTACTCCATGTACCAGGCAGAAGAGTTCCAGGTTCTTCCCTGCAGATCCTGCGCTCCCAACCAGGTCAAAGTGGCAGGTAGGACTTTTACTAACCCCTTCGTAGACTGGATCAATCTGAAAATTGTTAGGCTTAAGGTAAAGTGAAGTTACAACAAATCTGTATCAGTCAGCTATGGCTGTAATAATGCTGCATAACAAAAAAAATCTTAAAACCTCATGACAAGTCTTTATTTCTTACTCATGCATCTACAGGTTGTCTAGGGTTCAGCTTCTCTACACTGAGCCTGACTCCAGGCTGAGAGTTGGGTTCAAGTCACTTCCATATGACTCCCATTCTTCCCAAAACATGTTCTTCTCATGGGGGAGGTTGCAGACTCCTAGTGGTGAGCAGAAACACAGAACTCTTAAGGCCTAGGCTCAAAGATGGCACATTCTCACACTCACATTCCACTGGCTAAAGTAAATCACATGGTAAAGCACAACACAAAGAGGCTAGGGAAGCATATGTCTCTCATCAAGTTTGAGGGGGAGGAAGTGAATATTTGTTAGACAATTATTCAATCTACTACAAAATTTTTAATCTCTTCTATCTGTGTATTTGGGGTTTTTCTTTTACTTCTCCTAAATCTTGATTTAGATATCCTGTAACTTATGTTATGTGAGGTTACTGGAATCACAGATTGTTAAAGGTAAAAAGAGACTTCAAATATAATCCAGGTCAATTATTCTTAGTAGAGGGAGTTATGTATCAATTAGAGTTCTTTGGTTGTAAGCAACAGAATCCAACTTGACTATCTTAAGCAAAACAGGAATTTACTGAGAGGCTATTCAACTAATTGGAGAACTAAAGGAAAAGCTGAATAACTAACCTCCAAAAGGACAGGGAACAGGGTAGCTTCTGGGAGCTGGGTAGCAGGAACTAATGGACTGCATCCTTAAGGCATCATCTTTAAGAACCATGCTTAGGCCCTGGGACACAGTGCTCAAAAGTCACCTTCCAGGGAGAGAGCATCTGCTTGGGCTGGTGGCTTGTGTGCTCACCCTTTGGCTAGGAAAGACAAAAACCATCATTGAAAGTTCTTCTAAGACTGCATCAAAGGGATAAATGGCTGTTCCCCAAAGGAAAATTGGTATGTATTACCAGAAGAAAGGGGAATCAGCATGTAAGGGGCGTTAAAAATATCACATGTTACAGGACCATAGCACCTGGAGGAGTATTATAATATGGGGTTGGGAGAAAGCCCATGGATTGAGAAAGCGTATCCAATATACTCACCATATCTACTATTTTGGAAACAAACCCACAGAACATAAAATTCAACACAATCTTCTTGGCTGCCTGAGATGTGCTTGTGGAAGAATCTGTGGTGGCAAAGTTTAAAAAATCCGAGAACATTGATGGAATTTAGTCCTCTCATCTCACTCATAGGGGAAGTGGACCCTAGAGGTCATGTGGTGGAGACAGTCCACAAACAATGTGGCTGTGATGTCAGCGTGCCCACCTTACACTTCAGAACCTGAAAAAGAAGGCTTACGTGTTTTTGAGGCAGGTGGTAATTTGGTGAGTGTAGCTAAAGAGAGGGAAAGAAACAGCAGCTTGTGGGTAGAGGCCGAGATGACTAGACATTTGTTCCTTGACAAAGTAGCAGAGTCTGCTTTTTAAAATGACAGTGTTTGAACCCCTACATTATTTGCAAAAGGTTTTGGGGTATCTTACCATAAACACAGTCCAAGTAAATCTGGCAACAAAGGTAAAAAAGATGGAAGGAGAATAAATTCAGCAAAACCAGAGGGGGAGGTGACTAAGATTAGCGGAAGAGCAGAAGATACTAAAATAGACAATAAACCTTATCTCTGAGCTCCTTGGCAGCCAGAGCAAAGAAAGAAACTTCACCAATTACTTAACTATCATCCACTGAAAGGAAGGCAACAAGGAGCCCAGAAGACCAAGAGGGACAACTTTCTCTTAGTTCTGAGCCACTGAGGAATTTGCCACAAGGGTTTTCATAAGAAAGATATTCACAACAATGTGAGCAGCAATGCTGGGAGCAGTTTTATGCAAAGATGCCCTCTGTGTGGCTATTTGCAGTTTGACTCCTCATAGTAGATGGGGACATGTTGTTGGTCACATTCTCTAAAGACGTTTTGAAGAAGACATTTTTGGCTTGGGTTTTGTTTGGCAGAGGCAGAATAGAATAAAAATGTGGGCTTTGGAACCAGACATCCGGGATTTGGGTTCCAGGAATGCCAGTTATTTGCTGTATGACCTTAGACAATTACATAATCTTTCTTTATGTCAGCTTCCTCATCTGTAAAATGGAGATAATGATCGTGACTACTTCATGGGATTATTGTGAGGATTAAAGGAGTTCGTATATGTGAGGCACTTATAATATTGCCTAGCACACAGTAAGTGCTTAATGAGTGTTAGCTCTTATTATTACAATTAGGTGCAATAATTTAGCAACTATGCTTAAAGATGGGAAAGGAGGAAGGGGCGTGGCTAACAGCAATTTATACCAATTCTGCTCCTTTGGGACATGCAGGTAGAGGGTGTTGTAGTGAGAAGGAAACAAACTATTTCTATCATTATTATTATTGTTATTACTTTACAGAGACAGAGCCTCACTATGTTGCCCAGGCTGTTCTCAAAATCCTGGGCTCAAGTGATCCTCCCCGTTCAACCCTCCCAAAGTGCCGGGATTACAAGCATGAGTCACCACACCTGGCTATCATCATTATTAATGAACACCCGAGGTCTGTCATAGGCCTGCAGCTATTTCTGTGCATGTCTCCAGTGCTTCAAGGTGTGAGTGTGCATGTTGCACACTTCCCCCACCCTTAGCCTGGGCAGGTGGCCTTGTCCCGCCCTTCCTCCATGAGGAGGTGGGCAGGAGCATTTCATCATGTATTCAACAAGCCATTAGAAAGCACATACAGGCCGGGCGTGGTGGCTCATGCCTGTAATCCCAGGACTTTGGGATGCTGAGGCAAATGGATCACAAGGTCAAGAGTTCGAGAGCAGCCTGGCCAATATGGTAAAACCCCGTCTCTACTAAAAATACAAAAATTAGCCAAGCATGGTGGCTTGTGCCTATAATCCCAGCTACTCAGGAGGCTGAGGCAGGAGAATCGCTTGAACCTGGGAGGCGGAGGTTGCAGTGAGCCAGGATCATGCCACTGCACAGAGTGAGACTCTGTCTCAAAAAAAGAAAAAAAAGAAAGGGAAAGGAAGGAAGGAAGAAAGAAAGGAAGGAAGGAAGGAAACACATACAATGTGCCAAGCTTGTATACTGCATGGTGAGCAAGATAGACGTGTTCCCTGTCCTCAGGGAACCTGCAGTCCAGCAGTGAAGATAGATATCCACCAAAGTATTATTCCAATCAAAATAGAATTCCAAAATAGAATGATGACAACTGCTATCAAAGTGGGATATGGGAGGTGCTGGGAGTATAGAAAAGGGAGATTTGGCAAAGACAAACAGGCATGGGAGACTTCCCAGAGGAATGAGTGACTGAGCTGAGACAGAATAGAAGCTACCTAGGGAGAAGTACTGTCAGAGGGGAACATAAAGTTGAGGGGTGCATGGTGTGTTCCAGCTACCAAAAGGCCAGAGTAGCTGAAGTGGAGAATGGGAGAGCTGCATGGGGCTTGAGAGAGAGGACGGGGCCGTGGTGCAATTTGGGGCTTTATTCTGAGTGCACAGGGAAGTCACTGAAGGGCAGAAGCTTACTGGATTTCCCTTGGCAAGGAAAGACTGTCTAGATCTATGTTTATAGGAGGGTGTCAAGAGAAGCAAGTTCCTAATGATTGTTAAACCCTTGGGTCTTCACTGAATGACTATGTGTCACCCAGGGACCATTGTGAAGAAGCCTCTGGGAGGTCAGATGTCCTCCTGGACTCTTGGCAGGAATGGCATTCAGACCATCTGAGCTAATGTCACTGTTCACTGTAAGATGATCCATGGGCCTGGGGTAGCGTTTGGGCTATTTAGGAGGGTGAAAGCCTGACTGTGAGCCTTTGCCTGCATGGAGGTGAGAGGGCGTTCTAGGGAGAGCTGCTCAGGGTTCCTTCAGACCAGTCCTCATCTGCACCCCAGGGTGGGTCACCCTGAGGCCTGCATGGGTGGTCTCACTTTGAGCAGGTCCTAACAAGGCAACTGTGGTGCCAAGGGTGGCCCTGAGAATGGAGAACCTGTGTGCATCAAAGCATTTCTGCCTCAGCCTATGGTGGGGTTGGGGTGTCCATGGAGGAGAGCTGCTCTTCTTGATCACGTTTGACCACCAGGGTCAGCTGCTTCTGGAAGTCCCTAAAGGCTGGACAGAATGCAGGGGGGCAGCTCCAGGCCCCAAGTACCAAGCAGGAGAGGATAAGTGGAGAAGATGCGCCCACCTCAACGCCCTCTATTTTCCTTGGGGTTAGCACTGCCTGTGCTTGTTTCCCCATTAGCCCCACCCCAGCCTACCGCCCCTCCCTTAAAGACATTCAGCTCGGAGCAGCCACCTCCTTTGCTCTGCCCGGGAGCTGTGGGGCCCCCATGAAAACAGCAGCTCCTGGTGAACAGCACCAGAAAAGCCCCAGGTAGGGGTGCATGTGTGTGAGTGTGTGAGAGTGTGTGTGTGTGTATGTGTGTGTGTTGTGTCTGTCTGTTCTGGAGAGGCTCACATTCCTCCTATTCATCCCCAAGCCCATTCTCTGGCTCTCCATCTCCCCGTTGACAGGATCAAGGACTCCACCCGCTTCTCCCTTTTCTGTGAGCACCCCCACCCACCCAGCTGTCTCTTAGGCTTCTCTCCCACAGGCTGGCTGCAGACAGGGACACAATCTATCTGGGTCCTCCTTCCTCATTGCTCCCAGATTTCATTCTACAGGACTGTTTGCATTTCCCTTAAGGACTTTCTGATAGGAAACAGATGGGGGTAACATAGTAATGAAAATGCATGAATCACCTAAAAAAAAATTTCAAAATTTTGTCAACCACAGTATGATTGCCAACACCTCACAGTGTGGCAGTTAGAACTCCCCTCCCTTGATTTTCTGCCCTGTTGTCTTTACCACCTCCCCACTTTGCCCGT